GGCCCACCACCTCTCCTGACCGTCTGGGCCTGGGCCGCAGATTCGGAGCTGGCCCTCATGTACAACGACGAGTCGGTGCTCGAGAATCACCACCTGGCCGTGGGCTTCAAGCTGCTGCAGGAGGACAACTGCGACATCTTCCAGAACCTCAGCAAGCGCCAGCGGCAGAGCCTGCGCAAGATGGTCATCGACATGGTGGGCGGTGGCAGGGACGGGGACAGAGAGGGAAAAGAAGACTTTGAGGAGCAGGCTTGGGAGGAGGGGTCCTAGAGGGACCCTCTGAAACCTGACTGAGTGGGCGGGTTCTGCCGAGTGAGAACGTCAGAGGCTCTGGTTTTATAACACCAAGGTCAAGGGTTCGGATCCCCTTATGGTCAGCCGCCAGAAAAATCAGCGGCCCTGGTGTGTACAGTGGGCAGGTGGGTGGGCTTCTGCAGCACTTGTGATGCCTCTTTGTCCACAGGTGCTGGCCACGGACATGTCCAAGCACATGACCCTCCTGGCTGACCTGAAGACCATGGTGGAGACCAAGAAAGTGACTAGCTCGGGGGTCCTCCTGCTGGACAACTACTCTGATCGCATCCAGGTGCCTCCCCATACACCATAGAAGGAGACTGGACCCTCTCCTCTCCTGCCCACTTTAGGTCTGGGTGACTGCCCCTCCCTTGTGTCTCCCATGTAGCCCATCTTCCTGTCTATTTTTCTCTGTCCCCTCCGCCATCTTCCCATTCTAACTCCATCTGTCCTTCCCATCTCCCCCCATTTCTCCCACCTCTCTCCAAATCCCTCTTACCTCTCCCCCTCACCTTCTCTTCCCCATCTCTTCCCCTCTCTTCCCACCTTCACTCTCCCAAATGGGAAATAAGAAAGCCTGAGGCCCCAGCCTGGGATGGGGCCTGGCCTCTGAAGGTGTCCACCTGTCCCCTCACACCATTCAGGTCCTACGGAACATGGTGCACTGCGCGGACCTCAGCAACCCCACCAAGCCACTGGAGCTGTACCGCCAATGGACGGACCGCATTATGGCCGAGTTCTTCCAGCAGGGTGACCGTGAGCGTGAGCGTGGCATGGAAATCAGCCCCATGTGCGACAAACACACGGCCTCTGTGGAGAAGTCTCAGGTACAGGATCAGCGAGGGGATACAAGGAGCTCAGAGCTCCAAGTCCCAGGAGATCCTGACATTCCTCTCCACAACGTCAAGTTATTCTTTGTTTGTTTACTTGTTTTTTCATCTTGTTGAAAAATATGCAACATTTTCTCTTTCAGGACAACACTCACAGTTTGTAGACCTACTCTAGAGAGTTCTCATGCATTTGCAGCAACCACCAGAAACATCAATGATGATACTTACCTGGCTGTTATTTACAGACCTGGTGTCAATTTCGCCTCACAGTTTCCCTGTAACCTGACCGCTAACGTTGTCTCTGATTTAATTTTGAGATGCTGTGAAATGTCTTCATCATGTGCTTCTTTAACTTAACAACAGAGACAGCAACACAATCTCATAAAAGAGTCACCGCAAAGTGTGACATGACAATTCCTCACCCTCCCCCCTTTGTCTCCTCCCTGGTGAGACCCAGTCTTCTCGTTGTGGTGTATCTGCCCTTCCAGACCTGGGTTTCTCAGCCTTGGCACTGTTGACATTTGGGGCAGATCATTCTTTGTGGTGGCGGCTGCCACGGGCATCGTAAGAATGTTAGCAGCATCCCTGGTCTCTACCCACTAGAAGCCAGGAGCACCCCTCCCCACTTGTAACAACCAAAAATGTCTCTAGACATTGTCAAATGTCCCCTGGGGGTGCAAGATCTCTCTTTCTCTCTCTCTCTAAAATGTCTCTAGACATTGTCAAATGTCCCCTGGGGGTGCAAGATCTCTCTTTCTCTCTCTCTCTCACACACACACGCTCCATTGAAAACCTGTTTTATACACTGTATTTATTTATTTTTTTGTTTGTTTTTGGCAGCTGGACAGTATGGGGATCTGAACCCTTGACCCTGGTATTATCAACACCACACTCTAACCAACTGATCTAAATGGTCAGCCCCTGTTTTATACATTTTAGTATGCAGTTATGTTCACAGGCAACTTACTAGCAATAGTTTGTGGGTTTAGCTTTTTAAAAAGTATATATAAGGGGCCAGCCCCGTGGCGCACTCGGGAGAGTGCGGCACTTGGGAGCGCAGCGGCGCTTCCGCCACGGGTTCGGATCCTATATAGGGATGGCCGGTGCGCTCACTGGCTGAGCGCGGTGCGGGCAACACCAAGCCAAGGGTTGTGAACCCCTTACCGGTCATGAAAAAGACAAAAAAAAAAAAAAAAAATATATATATATATATATATATATATATAAAAGGGCTGGCCAGTTAGCTTACTTGGGACAATGCGATGCTGATAACACCAAGGTCAAGGGTTCAGATGCCTGTACCAGCCAGATGTTAAAAAAAAAAATCTATATCAATATTTTAATGCAATTTGCTTTTTCTTTCCAATAATGACTTAGAGATCTTCCCAAGTTATTGAACATGGATTTAGTTCATCCTTTTCGCTGCTTTATAGCTTTCCCATAGATATTGCTAGATGATGCTGTCTTTAGTCATTCCCCTGTTCATGGACATTTAGGTGTTTAGCAGTTAGGAATTCACAGTGACTTAAACAAGATAAAGCTTTATTTTTTTCTCTCTCATGTAAGAAAAGTCTAGAGAAAAGAAGTCTGGCATAGAGAGAGGCTCCACAAAATCGGCAGGCATGCGAGAGCTTTTGGTGTTTCTTTTCTACTGTCAGAAGTTCGGGGCTTCTACCCATCCTGGTCACAGATGCTGTCAACCATTCTGGCTACATTGCAGGGAGTAAAGGCCGCTGCCAACAGAGGCAGCCCCCAGCACCTTCCATCTACAGGTGGTCACATGGCCACCGTCTCTTTGCAAAGGAGGCTGGGAAATGTAGTTTTCATCTGGACACATTGCCTCTCACCAGAAAAATCAAGGTTTGGTCTCTGAGTGGAAGGAAAGGTGATATCAGAGTGTTAACCAGCAGTCTGCCATGAAGTTGTTTCTAGTTTCTCTTTGTTGCAGAAAGTGCCACAATGAGGAGCCGGCCCGTGGCTCACTGGGGAGAGTGTGGTGTTGGTAACACCAAGGCCACGGGTTCGGATCCCTGCACAATGAGGAGCCGGCCCGTGGCTCACTGGGGAGAGTGTGGTGTTGGTAACACCAAGGCCAGGGGTTCGGATCCCTATGTAGGGATGGCCGGTTCACTCACTTGGGAGAGCATGGTGCTGACAACACCAAGTCAAGGGTTAAGATCCCCTTACCGGTCATCTTTAAAAAAATATAATAAATAAAATAAAAATAAAAATAAATTTTTTTAAAAAGTGCCATAATGAATATGGATGATATACCACAATTTTTGGGGTTTTTTTGGTTTTTTTTTACAAGATGACCGGTAAGGGGGATCTTAACCCTTGGCTTGGTGTTGTCAGCACCACGCTCAGCCAGTGAGCAACCGGCCATCCCTATATAGGATCCGAACCCAGTCCTTGGTGTTATCAGCACCACACTCTCCCGAGTGAGCCACGGGCCAGCCCATACCACGATTTTTGAAAACGAATCCCCAATTGATGTGGATGTGGAAGTGTTTCTAGTTTTTGTTTATATCTGAAATGTGATTTTTTTTCTTGCTGTGCAAGAGTCTTTTCAGGGTGAATCTGGAGAAGCAAAACTGTTAGGTCAAATGGTATAAGCATGTTTTTCATTTTATATGAAGCCTCAACGTGGTGGTGCCGCCATCACCCCCATAGGCCACCTGTTTATACCGTCTTCTTCATCCCCCAGGTGGGTTTTATCGACTACATTGTGCACCCATTGTGGGAGACGTGGGCGGACCTCGTCCACCCGGATGCACAGGAGATCCTGGACACGTTGGAAGACAACCGGGACTGGTACTACAGTGCCATTCGCCAGAGCCCATCGCCACCACCAGAGGAGGAGCCAGGGGGGCCAGGCCACCCACCCCCACCTGATAAGTTCCAGTTTGAGCTGACGCTGGAGGAAGAAGAGGAGGATGAGGTGTCCACAGCCCAGATACCATGCATGGCCCAGGATGTATGGAAAGTGCGAGGACTGTCCACGGCCAAGGAGGCCAGGGCCCAGGAGCCATGCCTAGCCAAGGCACCGTTCAAGGTCAAAGGCGAGGATGAGTCCACGTCCCAAGAGGAGTCCATGGATGCCGTAAGCTGCAGCAGCCCCCCTGCCCTGTCTCCTGAAAGCCCCTATCTGCCTGCCTTGAGGACCCCATCCATTCCAGAGGAGGCCCCGGGCCTCCTGGGCCTCCCCTCCATGGCGGCAGAGGTGGGGGCCCACAGACAGCATCAGGCTGCCAAGAGGGCTTGCTGCGCCTGCACAGGGACATCAGGGGAGGACCCACTGGCCCTCCCAGGTTCTGGTGGGTGGGGATCAGGAGACCCCACCTGAGCCCCAGTGCCGTCATCCCATCACCCTCCCTGCTCCCCTCCCCCACCATCCGCCCCAGCCCACCTCCTCTGCTGCCTCAAAGACTCTTGGCCCTCCTGAGAAAAAAGAAAACAGAAAAGTGGGGTTTTTTCTCTTTTCTTTTTTTCCCCTTTCCCCCTGCCCCCACCCATGGGGCCTTTTTTTGGAGGTGGGGGCTGGGAAACAAGGGGCTGAGGTCCCAGAAGGGATTTTATTTTTTGAATTTTAATTGTAAAGTTTTTAGAAAAAAGAAAAAAAAAAAAAAAGATGAAACACAGCAACTGTAGATGCTCCCGTTCCTGGTTCCCATTTTCCACCTCCAGACCCCTCTTCCCCACTACCCCCACTAATTCCAGGCTCAGTCTTCCAGCCTTTTCCACCCCTTCACCTGGGCCCAAGCAGGCATGGGGTCTCCTTCTGGGCTTCTGAATTTTGGAGGGTCTCCAGAATGCAGCCAGGAATAGCCATTCTGGGTGGGGCTGGGCATGGTTACTGCAGGAGGCCCCAGCTCCAGCCCCTCTCTGCCTTTCTGCACTCCCCAAAAGTCTTCCACCTCATTTTGCACAACTCCAGCCATCCTGACTAGGGGCTCAGGGAGCCAGGAGGAGCTGTTCACTTTAGGATGCAGGGGGTGGTATCCAAGGACATTCACACCGCCAGCCTTGGAGCTGAGATGTGAGGAGGGCCTGACCCCCCTCCGCTTCCCATCCCTTGCCTCTTCCCCTTTGAGCTCACTTTGAATTTTCCCTGTGTGGGGGGAGGGCTATGATCTGCACACCCCGACCCCCCCACTTCTTTCAGCTGCTTCTCCTCTTGTTTCTGCCTTAATGATTCCCATGGCCATAGGACAGGGGGTCGCAGTGGCTCACACCTGCACCTTGGTTGTGGAGGGGCCAGGCTCAGAGCTCCCATCCTGGGCACCCCCTCACCCCTAGCGTCCTCCTGACCCCCTTCCAGACTCTGCCCGTGACTCCCAGCCCTTTGCCCTAGGAGGAAGCAATAACGGTGTACACCTTCGTCCCTCATCCTGGGCAGCTTTTCCCACCCTGGCACCAAAGTAATTTCTCCGTGTCCCTACCTTGTTAAGTCTCTCCCTCTCCCCCAAGCTAGTCCCTGAGCAATATGACAGACAGATGCAAGGCCATTTTTCTCCAAGCCATGGGGGACTGTCGGAAGGAAAGATTCCCTTTATCCCCACTCCTTACAGCCCTCAGCCTGGTTCTGCAGCTGGGCTGGGCAGGGCCTGTGTCATTCAGTAACCTCCATCCTGGGCTCCCTCTCCCCCAATTCTGAGCACACGGTACTGTAGTCCCCAGTCCCCCCACAGCCTTCCATCTGTCTGTTCACCCCGGTGGGGAGTAACACCCCGTCCCAACCCCACGATGCTGTACAGGGTTCATTTTTGTAGTGAAAGTCGTTTCTGTCCCGGCCGGTGACCGGAGTGGGCCTTTTCTTTCTTTTCTTTCATTCTTTTTCTTTCTTAGCTACTTTTTTTTTTTTTTTTGTACATTTTGTATGTAAGGTTGGTTTGTAAATTATTCTACAGAGGCAAAAAAAGGGAAAATAAACTTGCCCTTACCTGGCTGATCCAGTCGGGAAGGTGGGGAGGGGGGGTCTCCCAGAGGGAGAGTCTCCATTCCTGCTGTATTATACAAACTGTACCATAGCCCCAGGAAAGTGTAGACTCACCATGGTTGTTAAGAGAAGTCGTGTCATCGATGGGGGCACAGGCTGGGCAGAGCCTGCCCCCTTCCCCTTCCCCAGAGCTGGGGGTGACTGGTGAGGTGCCCCCCAACCCCTAATCAGGGCTCCTCTCCCCAGGGTGGGTGCGGGACCCCCGTGAGCTCCTTGCGTGTTGTCCACTTTGATGATCAATCAATCGGTGCATTGATCGATAAACAATCCTTCGATCTTGTCTCCAATTAAACCGAGGCTTTCACCGATGTTCCTGGCTGATGTGGCTCTATTCTCCATCTTGTTTATTAAGGTGACTCCTGCACTGTCTGCCTGGGTGGGGTAAGCGGAGGTGGGGGGTTGTTTGTAGATGGAATTAGACTCCCAGCCTGGACCAGGCCCTGGCACATGGGCTCTAGGTTATAAAAATGGAAGTTCAAGACTACACAGTCTTTCAAGGTCAACAGACACAGGTAAGCCTTGCTTCTCCCACTCAGAGCGCGTCTGACACAACTCTTGGGTTCTTCTGGTACTTAGCAGTTAATCCTGGAAAACTCAAGGGGGCCTGATGGACGATGCCTCCACCATCTGGCTACCAGGTTATAATAAAAGATCTCAGCCAAATTCTGCTGAGCAGACATTAACAGGCACAAAATAATTTATATCTGTAAGTTCCGTGAATTTCCACTGTTCTATCCATTTTGGTATGGCAACCTTCATATTGCATTAAAAAAGACAGGATTTTGGGCCGGACCCGTGGTGCACTCGGGAGAGTGCAGCGGTGCGGGTGACACCACACCAAGGTTTGCGATCCCCTTACTGGTCACGAAAAAAAAAAAAAAAAAAAAAAAAAAGACAGGATTTTGTGTCGTTTCCAGCCTATAAGCTTTATGGATATCAATCAGGCAGGCTGAATTTTCCAAATTAATGGCTGGACACAGATGACTCGGGATTGAAATTATGTTTTTCTAACCTGTTCATGCAAGTGAAACTCAGATATTTTAACCAATCCATGTATTTGAATACTGTTAATTTCACCCATGGGAGCCCACTTTCCAATGTTTATTAGGCTAATTAACAAGCCCTTGGTTTCACCAATAAAAGGTTTCTGACATTCATTATGCTAATGAGCGAGACTTCTGGGTGTGTATAAGGATAGGGGTAGTGGATATGTTTGTGATGTGGACTTTCTGATTAGAATGCTGGCTGCCTCTGGGGGTTAATAAAACGAGATGCAGTCACCCCTCTGAATCTGCCAGTTCCACATCCACAGATTCAACCAACCCTAGATGGAAAATATTTGAAAACATAAAAATAAAAAATACCAATACAATGATAAAAAATAATACAGTATAACCACTAGTTACGTAGCATTTACATAGTACTAGGCATTATAAGTAATCTAGAGATGATTTAAAGTATACGGGAGGATGTGTGTAGGTTATAAGCTAATACTACAGCATTTTATATGAGAGACTTGACCATCCTCGGATTTTTGTATCCGTGGGGGGTCCTAGGATCAATCCCCGTGGTTACCGAGGGACGACTGTCCACACGTACATACAGAGTGCTTAAGTGATTAGGCATAATAGGATCACTAGATGTATATAATCATAACATGGGTGTTCTGAAACGAAATGAGGGCATCTCGGCTGGGTCTAAGGAAAGGTGACCCCACCCATTCTGCCATTTGTCTCTAATCACCAGGGACCCTGGGTCTGTACCCCAGCTCTAGCTAGGTGACCTTGGGGGTGATCTCTCTGAGCTTCAGTTTTATCAAGTTTATCCTATGAAATGAGGATAACAACAGTCCCAGACCTATGGGGTTGCTCTAGGGCAGGGCTGTCCAGTAAAACTTTCTAAGATGATGGAAATATTCTTTTTTTTCTGGCGGCTGGCCAGCTGGCCGATATGGGGAACTACACCCTTGACCTTGGTGTTACAAGGCTGCACTCTATTAAACAGCTGAGCTAACTGGTCAGCCTTGATGATGGGAATATTCTACACCTGTGCTATCTAACAAGGTAGCCACTGGCCACGCAACTGAGGGAATGGAGTTTTAATTTTCCTTTATGTGAAGTAGCCACAATTAGCCAGGGGCTACTGTGTCAGACTGTGCTGTTGTGGAACTGAAGCCAGAGTTCACGTAAAGCATTTAATCTGTATAAAGAGTTTGCCTGCTTCACAGTAGCTATAAGGATTATCGGGGGAAAATATGGGGGGCAGGGGGCAGGAGGCTGGCTAGTTCAGTTGGTTCGAGTGCACCCTTGTAACACCAAGGTCAAGGGTTCAGTGTACCCTTGTAACACCAAGGTCAAGGGTTCAGATCCCTGTACAGGCCAGCTACAAAAAAAAACAAAAAACGTAGATATCGTGGCTCAGAGGAGTGAGGGCCAGATTGGACCCAGAGGGGAGAAGCAAAGCTGGAAACTAGGTAGAAGTTTTCAGGGAATCTGAACTTTGTGCAAGAAGCAAAGAGGAGACACAGACATTGTCCCCAGGGTGTTTCAAAGGGAAGCAAAGTCAGGGAAAGGGCATTGGGCTGGGGGTCAGGAGACGATATACCAATCCCAGGCTGCAGGGGATAGTGGGTGGCCCTGGGGGAGGCTTCTAGCTCTGGCACTCAATTTACCCAAGTGTAGAAGAGTAAATATGATGTCCCAAACACCTGTTGTATTGGGATGAGGTGACAGGCAGAATGTGGGTCAAAGGGGGAGGGTGGCATGTGACTGCCAGCTGGCTCTTTAAAATTCCCCGGGGTAGGGAGTTCATCTTTCCTCAGGCAAAGGTGACCATGGACACTGGGGCACAGCAGCAAGGCCTGGTAATCTGAACAGGCCAGGGGGACCTGGGGAAGGGTTGGAGTCCGTTCATTCTCTGCAGCTGACATCAGCCATTTGCAGGCTGTGTGGTCTTGGGCAAGTGGTCCCACCTCTCCCAGCCTTTTGAGGGCCCTGCCCTGTGCTAAACATTTTAGGTGGATTATCTCATTGACTCTCCAGCTGTACTTGAGATATGTACTATCAGGGGCTCCCTTTTGCAGATGAGGAAACTGAGGCCTGGGATGTGATCTCACAGTGTGGGGAAAATTCAGGGAAATAAGATACGGATTTTACTTCGATGTGATCTCACAGTGTGGGGAAAATTCAGGGAAATAAGATACGGATTTTACTTCGATGTGATCTCACAGTGTGGGGAAAATTCAGGGAAATAAGATACGGATTTTACTTCGATGTGATCTCACAGTGTGGGGAAAATTCAGGGAAATAAGATACGGATTTTACTTCGACTAATGCCTGTTCAACAATGACAGCTGCCTGGATTCTTTTATATTATTATTATGTCATGTGCATAAAACTGTGAGATATGGGTAATATTTCCCCCTCTTTAACAGCATAAAAATATAAGGAAGTACAAATTAAAATAAGAAACTCCTCCAATTTCACCTGTTAGTGAATAATAAAAACATGGGCCATCTTTGGGGTAGGCAACACACTTTCACAGCTCATTAGTGTTGGTGGAAATTGGCACATACAACTTTCCAAGAGTGGTTTGACAACATTTATCAAAAAAATAACAACCAAGGGCCGGCCCGGTGGCGCACTGCTACAGTGCGCCGCTTGGGAAGCGTGGTGGCGCTCCCGCCGAGGGTTCAGATCCCACATACAGACCGGCCGCTCACTGGCTGAGCGAGGTGCGGGAGCAACGCCGAGGGTTGTGATCCCGTTGCCGTCCCGGTCCGGTACGGGCGCAACACTGAGGGTTGCGATCCGTTGCTGGTCACGAAAAAAGACAAAAAGGGGAAAAAAAATAATAATAATAACAACCACGCATGCATTTTGACCCAGCCATCATGGTTTAAAAACTATTTATCCTAAAGAAACAATTGGATGAATGCTTAAAGATACAAATGTGCAAATACCTAAAGTAAAAAATACCCATGCTGTATTCGTCAGAATAGAAGAATTATTAGGAATCCAGATGTCCAGCATTAGGGAGTCATTAAATTACGCTCTACCTGTGTGGTGGGATAATACGCAGACTTTAAAAACGATGAGGTGGATCTATATTTAGTGTAACAATGAGACGTTCGCAGCAAGAAGAGCAGGTTTCAAAACGTTCTGCGTTATATGACCCTACTAAAATATGTGCATAGAAAAGACTGTTCCTCAAAATATTAACAGTGTCTCAAGTGGTGTGATTAGAAGAGATCTGTTTTCTATCCTGTAGTCTTCGGTATTTTCTGAATTCTTTGCAACGAGCATATTATTTTTATAATCAGAGGGAAAGTTAGTTTACTCGCATAATCAGGGGAAAGAAAAAACATCTGGGAGGCACAAAAGGGTGGTAAATAAGCACCCGGTCTCTAGATTCAGCTTTCCTGGTTTCTGGTTCCACATCTGCCAAAATAATAGCTGGGTTAAGAGCAGGTTATGTACCTGCTCTGTGCCTCAGTTTCCTTCACTGTAAAATGCAAATAAAAATAGCTCAGGTTCACCGGGCGGTTACTATGTGCCAGGCACTGTTTGTTTTTCGTAAATTATCGTATTATTCTCACAACAGCCCTATCAATTGATTATGATTATAAAATGGGTCGTAGGCATCAATAAGCAGGGAAGGAGGGAGGGCTGCGAGCGCGAGTCCTCGAGCGCCCCCTACAGTGGGACTAGGGGATTACAGCAGGATCAGGAAGCGGCGCGCGCACAGAACGGGTGGGCGGCGCGGCGTGGACGCGCGGGAGTTTTTTCCGCTCTACGATTGGCTGGCGTAGTCGTCATTAGCCGAGAAAACAGCCAATGAGGGGCGCGGCCGCTTTGCCTTTCGAACCCCAGGGCTGAGGGAGCAGAGGCGTTGCACAGCCTATGGCGCTCGGGTCGCAGCTGGTGCCACGGCCCCCGAGGTGGGTGAGGGGACCCTGGCGTCACTCCCTTTTTGAGAGTGACCGCGGCGTTGTTCCTACTTGCTTAGTCGGACTCTACCGTCATCCTCCTTATCTGAGCGTACTCTGGCGCCACTCCCCTCTTCCTGAGGGGACACCTGGCGTCATCCCTTTTTCCCGAGAGTGACCAGAGCTGTTCCCAATTCCTTAAGGGGATCCTGGAGTCATGTGTCCTTCCTGAGGGGACCCTGGTGTCATTCCCCTTTCCTGATGGGGCCCCACCATTGTGCTTTCTTTCTGCAGGAGACCTGGGCATCGCCCCCTCTTCCTAGGGGGACCCCATATTATCCCTTCGTAAGAGGACCCCAGAGTCGTTTCCCTTCCTCAAGGC